TCTGCCTCTTGTGCTGAAGACTGCAGTTCACTCACATGTAGCAATGGCTTTTAATGGGGGGGAGGGTGTAATTCCCCCTCACCTGTGCAAGCCGCCTGTTTTCCCACATCCTCTGATAACAGTAGCCATTAACTGTATACGGACAGAATGCACGTATTTCCTCAGACTCTGTTTTGCCTTTCTTATATTCTACAAAAAGCAGAATAAAGGCAGAAATTTGCAGATTTTAGCTCTTTTCTAAGGTCAAGTCTGCAGCAATTAATGACTTCATTGAAAGACAAAAATACCATGTTGTCAATAAGAAAAGTCTGTTATGTGTTCTAATTAGAAAAACAGTTCCCTTCAGGAAACTGGGCCTTTTAACAAAAATACTAAGGGAAAAAAATCTTCAGAAAACTGTGTCAGTGAAATAAGACATGGGACAAAATCTGGAACGAGGCTCTAAGGACCCTGGAAAATATTGTTAAACTTTATGTTTAACCACTGTAGGTATCTCATCCTCTTATTATGCTTGCAAAAATACATTTTCAAAATAAATAGATATGGGTAATATTTTTGCTTACCTTTGAAAAGGGCCACTTACAAATACACTACAAAACACATCTATTATTTTTTCCTTTAGTGAAAGAAATCTCTGATTCTCAGGCACAACTTGAACTCTCAAAAGGAGCTTTATATTGAGCTCCTGAAACATTAGTGTGGGACTTTTATTCTCCTGTGATGTGAGCTTTTATTGATAGGAATGTATATATAATTCAGTGCTATGGAAAAGAAAAAAGAAAAAAAAAAGAGGCAAAATGTGCCAGAAGTGCCACTGCAGTAATACGAGAAGAAAAGGCTATCAATTCTTTTGAAGGTTTACAAGTAAACTTTTCTTCTGTCTGTCTTCTCTATAGTTGATTATATTCTACTATTAGAATAGAAGTTTATATCTGCAGTATATTAGTTCACTGTTTTGTTCTTCTTTGCTTCAGGCACTGAAGGAAAAAGAAGCCTGCCACACATTTTAAGTTCAAAATTGGTTAATAACAAAACACATTTTCAATGAATTTCACAGCCAGTCCCTTTGGGCAGCTACTCTTTGCAATTTAAATGAAGGTGCAAAAACTTTCTTTTCCCCCTTAACAATACTTTGGCAAGTTTCAAGTACATATATATAGGTGGTATAGTGGAATATTACAAAAAAAAAAAAAAAAAAAAAAAAGATTAAAAGTGCCTGTTCCAGCACTTGAGGCTAGGCAAGAGGAATCAAAGTCTGTGCTGCCTAAATTAGGATCCTGACGTGGGAAATTTTTTACTTACCTGCATTTATCACAGAAACCACTGCTGCTGCTTTTCCCAAATCAAATACCTTGTCAACTATCAGAGCTATTAGTCCACTCCTATCTCCTATTCTCTATAGGAATTCATATTTATGAAGCAAGGTCCTACCTTAGTCTTTTTCCTACTGAAGCTGCAGAAAACACTGAACACTGGGTAGTTTTGGTTTTGCTTCGTATTCTTTTGTGCCTTTTTTATTTTTCTCTTGCTGAAGCTTATATTTTGGGAACCATCAAAAATTATATGGAACATAACAGCTGAATCTGGTAAATGACCTTGCCTGAATGAATCTAGTAGGTTTGTTCCATGAACAAACTGCAGAAGAAAACCCTTCCCTGCTTTCCAGTGAAATTGTGCCTCATGGTGGAGTGAGTGTTTAACAGAACTGTACAAATGCTGCAGTGTGCACTGACCCACTAGGAGATAAGAGGGAGATGAGGGGCACGAGGAGGGGGAGAAGAAGGATGTGGGAAGGGGTTAGAGGTTATAAATGCCCTCAGACATGGGAAGAGCTTCAAAAGGAGTCTGTGCCTTATGAGACGCAGTGGAAAGAAACCTTTATTGAAAAATTGATTCTTGGGCACAGACCTTGACTCAGGCTTTTGTCTCCATTAGGGTTTTAAGGCATTCCCTCCTATAGGTTCTGTGCTGCCTAAGGAGCGAGCTCCTGCAGCGGCCTCTCCTTTAGGGTTGTTATTAGAAAGCAATGATCTCGAGATCTTTACTGTCACATAAAAATAGCTGAAGTTGATCAATGGTTCCTAAGAAATTGGAACAGAGCAAAAGAACTTGATCACACAAGTCAGCTCTCTCTCAGTTAGGAATTTCAATGGGGAATACTTCTAATTTAACAATCTATTCCCTGGTGAACTTCACAAAACCCAAAAGAAGGAGGCAGCCTCCCTGTCCTACACTTGCTTACCTTAATTATTTATTTATTTAAGTCTTTTATAAGTCCTCTGACTAAGGCACTTAAATGTAATGCAGGGTCAGATATCTCATGATCTGTGGTTCTTTGCTAGATTTTCCCCAGAAATATTCACTAACTTGCCCTGTCACTCATTCTTGCACTGTTCTTATCTCCAAAACAAATTACAGCTCTTTAAATATAATCGAGCAACTTTTTCATGTTCCTAGGATTCCCCTAGCCACAAGTACATGTTGCTTCACCTATTTTGTGAGTGTTGTTTAAACCCAATTAGGACCTTTACTTCAATTTTTCCTCTGGTGAAAATTTTCAAAACAAATGATGTTTAAAACAAAAATTGACACAGTACCTGAGCTGAAAGTACACCTTAAGAAAGTTTTACAGTTTCTGTGCTAATGAAGAGGGGGCTACTTGAATATATTCCCCAAAATATGCCACCATTTCAGCATTCAGAAATGTGCTTGTTCTACCATTGCTCATATTTTGGTTTATTTGACAATCTCACACAGCCTGCAACTTACTTACTTAGTGAATTCAGCTATGCTTGAATAAGAAGGAAACTTATGCAGAAAAAAAAAAGAAATTAGATGAATAATTAACATATACTTTATGCAAATGAATGGAAAAATGTTCAGAAATTTCTCTGTTCAATTAATGTGTGAATTCTCATAGAAGTATTCCACATTCCAAAAGTTTGTCATCAGGTCAGTAATTGCACATATGTACTTATTTAATAGATCCCAAAGGTTGGCTTGACATATTTCACTTCTTAATGAATAAACCAGTTTTCTTCTCTTATTCATCTTATGTGTGCTCTCTTTGTAAGTACACAACCAAACAATAATGGGAACAAATCCCAGAAGCTGAAAATAGATGCAACTTCACAGCATCAGCAATCAGTATTCTAAGAAGACTTCCTAAATTGAGGACAAATATATATATAAATATATATATATATATACAAAAAAAATATTTGGAGCTTTGTATCACTATCTTGCTGTAAGATTTCCTTAGTCCTATTGAAAAATAAAATAAAACAAAAGAACCTGATCTTTGAACATCTGATGACAAAACTTGAATGTCATTGTCTCAGACCATGATTACTGTAGCTGCCTGTATTTGTGCACTAAAAAGCAATTTATATTTAAAAAGGGTACAGACTAATTAAAATCTTTCTGGAAACAGCTGGCGTATAAGTACTTATGGTAAAATTGAATAATTAAAATTTCATTTACAGCATGTATATGTATGTGTGGATAAGATTTATCTGGAAAATATCTGGGAAGTTATAATGGGAATCAAAAAATTATCTTAATGTTGCAAAATCAAAAAATGTTGCATTATTTGGAAAGCTAATTGCGGGTCACTTAGCCAAATAAACACTTAACAGTTTCACCAACTTTAATGGGATTTGATAATACAGATGCCAAGAACATTTGAATAAATATATTTGTCCACTACTCTAATAGTTGCCTAAGAGACAAAATGTTATGGTCACCAAACCTTTTATTTCTATTCTTCAGATGCTGTTGAGGCACATTTTGACACAGTAATTACTTATAAGATGATAGATAACCCGAGATCTGTAATTCGCTTCAAGGGCTCAGGTCATTTCATGAATGGCAAAAATACAGTGCATTACTATTTGTATAATGTAGAGCTTATTTATATTTAATGTTAACATTATTTTTATATGAGAAGCACTTTCCTAATATTGTTTATGCTGTGCTGATTGATTGTCATTTTGAGATGAAAGTATACACGTTTCACAAGAAAATGTGGGCCACTTTTGAGGATCTTTATTTCATTTCCTTCCTCCTTGCCTTGCCTTTGCCTTTGCCTTTGCCTTTGCCTTTGCCTTTGCCTTTGCCTTTCTCACTTAACAGATAAGTAGTTTGGTGTTGATGTAATGGAAACGGGTCATCCTTGGCAAATTTGTCTATTAATAATTATCAATATAATCTTGCTTTGATGTCAAGATTAAAAAATTTTACATTAATACAATATTATTTTTCATTCAATAAATGGCTAAAGTTAATCTTAAGGTCAAGAATTTCAGCCTGTTAGAAACAGTGAAATCTCGTTAATCCACACTACTTCAACACTACTTAGCGGAAACCATATATTTAGGCCACTTTGGGTACTTGTTGTGTCAAGTATCTCAGAGGAGGAGTGAGGAGCTATCTACAAGGAAGAAAGGCACAGAGAAAAATTCATCTCTCAGTGTATTGTGAGGATTTTTATCTGTAATGTTTATTGAAGCTCATAGAAAGGGATATGTGTAAATCTGGGTATTGAGCTAAGAATGCTCACTGCAATCAGCTTTCCAAAAAATGCATCTTGATAAAGAGCTCTGCAAACCTTTATAAGTTAGACTCTGGATTATACTTTCCATGAAGAAGGATATTGACCTGTGTAATATCCCTTTTTTTGTTTTATTTACAGTATATTAGCAGGAATCACTTTGAGAAAAATGTATTTGTGCTGCTTCTGCCCCAGTGTTGGGACATCTCCTGCAGGTCACACAGCCCTGGGCACCTTGCTGCTCTAGTGCCCAGACTGGAGCTGCCTTTTTGCTGCAGGGAGCGTGTTGACAGTGACTTTGTTACAGGCACCACAGAAGGAGGAATTGCTAGACTCCAGCAGGCTGGCAAACCTTTCGTAAATCCTACAGCAGCTGTCACCTTGCATTTTCTCAAGCGAGTGGTCACCTCTTTGCCTTGGAAACCAGCGCTTCCTCAAGGGAAGCAGGCTCCACACTGCTTTGAGGGGGACGAGATTTCAGCCTTCTTTCTTTCTCCCTCAAGGCTGCCAGTGCATAGAACTCAGGGTTATTTTTACTCACCAAAAGGGAGCTGATGCCCTCTCGGACTGCTTCTCCATCCACAGCGGAGTGCCACTGATGGTGGCCCTGTGTCAGGAGGTTCGTGGTGATGGAGGAGGCACACTTTACTTTTTAAGCCACCTTTTTGAGATCACTAACTACTGCTTCCATTGTGTCCACAGAAGTGCTGTGGGCAATTTCCCCCCACATCCTTTTAGCAACCAGAAGAGAAGCAGTTGGGAGAGCTAAAGCCAGCCATGAGTGAAGAGGCCTGCCTTGTAGATCCAGCTGCTGCTACAGGCCTCTGTCTGTAACAGTGGGCCGTATGGCTCCCTGCTCCAGCAGATCTGGAGTGCAGCTTCAGTATTCTGAACGGTTTCCAAAAGGATGGGGAAAACAAGCTTCTTTTATTTAATTTACATAACGATTCTATAAATGATTGTATTTTATCAATAGATTTGTGTATGTAGGTATATGTATATGTTACCTAAATAACATGCAGTGATCTGGTCGGCACAGAAGTGTGTAATCATGGCACCATAGGATCACCCTTCCCAGCCATTAGCAAAAGCTCTTTAATCATCTTTATGGACTTAGTCTCTTTTCTGTGTAAATATTTTTCCTGTCTTTCTCTTAGCAAAGTTGTTTGCAGGCTCTTTGTAGAATACAAACTCCTGCAAAGAAAATGCCCTTGAAGCAGTATGTGTAGACTGATTGCTAGATAGCGAACATGCTAATAGCATCTTGAGAGAATTACTATTACTTTGCAGCAGAGGCATTTTCATCAAAAAAAAAAAAAAAAAAAGACAAGAAATCTCACCATGCTCCTTAGATTGATTTCCCCCCTTTTGCATATTTCAGTCAATGGTGGCTGGTTCATTGCTAAAAATCTCCAAGGCATTTGAACCCCTAAGGAGTGTCATTTCCCATGATTGCCTCTCGGGAAGTTTTGTAAAGCACCAGACAACAGAAAAGACAAATGACCAACATAAGAGAACTTAAATCTGACAGTAGTCCTAACACTCAGCACTGAGTTATTGAAATGACAAGTGAAACAGTTTTATACCTGTTACAGCTTGCTTCTCAGGGTTAATTGGGTATCCATAGTAAATTTGCAAACTAACACTCAAGACTCAACGATAATCCTTTAGGTTGCCCGATACCTTTATCTGACCAAGTTCATGCAGACTCAGCCATCTGCGGAGGAACTTGGCGAGGCTGCACTTTATCTGCTTTTTTATTTCTGGTGCAATGGGATGGGAAAGAGAAGAAGCGAACATATAAGGGTTCCCTACTGAGAATCAGTTCTATAAATTATGTATTATGCAGACACTATTCTGCTGATGCTATCTGATCCCCAATTCTCAGTTCCTTGTTTTTGCTTCTATAAATAGCTATGGCCAGGTTCTCAGTTGTAAAGTGATGAGGACAAAACCTGAAACCTTTTCCATTTAATAACCTCTGCCAAGGAGGAATAAGGTATTATTTTTCATAACTGTGATGTCCTCAGGGCTTGAACAATCTGGGAATACAAGCAGCACTATGTTGTTGATAAGATACTAGTAGCAAAAGTGGGAATAGCCATGCCGAATATTAAAGATGAAAATGCCCTATTTTCAAGATGATCAGTATAAAGCTTGGTATTGTGAATTTTCTTGTCAATTTTTGCCTGTATGGGACCACTTTTGTTTTTTGTTTCTCCCTCTAGATCCGAATGCTTTTGCTGGAAAGACCGGACCTGATCACGCTCTTATAGGAGGAATAGTGGCTGTAGTTGTCTTTGTAACGCTATGTTCTATAATTCTGCTTGGTCGATATCTGGCAAGACATAAAGGTAGGAAAGATTTAGTTGAAGTTCACTCATTTTTGGAAGCAAGGTGTAATTTCATGTGAGAGTGCTTTTCCCTTTCACTTTTCCTCATCTGCTAAATAACTGGGACAGCACAGCTCATTTCATAGTCTGGTTATGAGTGAAGTCCCTGATTTTCTCTCAGCTGTACAGTGGCAGTTTTATTGACTAAGGCAAAGGATATCTAGTTACGTGCCATGGCCCACTGGCAATGAGCCAGTGATTCAGAGAGACTGAAAGGATTGTAGCCCTTGACTTTCTATTTAATTACTTAATTACATGGCCTCATAATTTTAACTAATATATCAGCTTAGCACAACTGAGTAAACAATTGAGAAAACAAGACAGTCAATTGCCATAAATTGTGTTAATACTTTCAATATGCCTTTAAAAGATAATATTAAATTCTGATGGTGGGTTTTCAAATTAGTGTCACTTCTACTAATGATTCCACTGGAATAAGGACTTAATTCATGGTTCAAGTTTATCCTTATTCGTATGTTTCACCTTAGGAATTCTAGTCCCTTCACTTTGAATCCTCTCCAGCATTAGGGATAACAGAAGTGGAGCGATGCTGACTGACTAAGCCTATGTATGATCCTATTTTGACCTAGTTAATTCCAAAATATTTTCCAGAGATTTAACCTCTGAATGCTTGTAGACCAGTTGTTAAATCTCACTCGATTCCCCCTCCTCAGTCTGAAAAACATGAAAGGGGGATTCTTGTTGGTATTAACTCATTGAATCTTGCTTTCAATAGGATAATCTTATGGCTATCAATCAGCCAGAAGCTTTTTTTTTTAATTTGAATAGGACTGTGCAGTGAAAAAAATAGTTTTTTTTATTAATGAACTAATGAAAATGTGTCTCTTCTGCTTTTCTTCGTGAATGCTAACATATGCATCTTATGCCAACTCAAATAATGCTTTTCACAGAGTAAAATTTTGCTGTTGTGCACAATTATTTTTTTCGTATCCTATATTCACATAACTTAGCATAAAAAGTGTCTGTGATAGTGTATTATGAGTGGGTCCAGGTGACTAAGCTAATGAAGCTACTTCCATCTTGTAATTCTTGGAAGTGACTATGATACAATTCCATGAAATTAAAGTATAGATAAGATCCTGAAAAACAGAAATGCAAAAACTATTAGCTGTATTTTTTTTTAATACACCCCTACTGAAAATCTGAATCTTCAAAGCTGGTTTGTTTTTATGGTTAGATATACCATGAAATATGCAAAACTTTGTCACTTATTCTATAATTGCATATTACAGCATTTAGCTAGAGTAGATTTTTCTCATGATATTTCCATCATTTATCATGAATGTATGTGAATCTGTGTGATGTGATAATGTGCATTACCATGCACAGTTTTTATATCATAAATATTTCTTGACCAAATTTGAAAGTTGTATATAATGGTATCATTCAGGCTACAAGTTTTTAAAGTTACATGTTACTCCACTCATGAAGTAATTACAGCACTGTTGGAAATTTTGCAGCACTTTATACAATACAATGTAATATATATGTGTATTTTTTCCTGTTGCACTGCTTCCTATAGGAACTTATTTAACAAATGAAGCAAAAGGAGCTGAAGATGCACCGGATGCCGACACAGCCATTATCAATGCAGAAGGCAGTCAAGTCAATGCAGAGGAGAAAAAGGAGTATTTCATTTAGATGCAGAGCTAGAATCTTGGAGTTTTACTATCAGGTTGACTGCTGGAGAAAACTGGCTATCATTTTTCAGAATTCATTTCTGCCATCTTCTGCTATCTTTATTAACCCACATACCTGCTATAAGTAGCCAGTTTATGCCAACAATCAGCTTTTGACAATATCATTCTATAATTACAGTATCATACATAAAGCAGGACATTTCTTATTGCCTAAATTCATATCCACTGCTCTCTTAACATACAGTGCTTGAATATACAGCCTTAACAATGTTAATCATCATCGTAATCCAAGTTTTCTACATTTTAAATGTATGCAGCTTTATTACTCTTCTGTTTTCTTTTATCATGCTCCATATCAGTATGTCATAGAATATTCATAACAAATGCTATTAGATAAGGACTTAATTTACTTACGTAAAAAAAAGATAAGTCTAAGACTAGAGGTTTACAAAGAATGTTTTATACATGTCTATAATTCAAAAAGCAACTTGTTTTGAGACATATGCCCTAGGAAAACATAACTGGAAGTTTCTTAGTATAGTTTCTTGTATGCTTGAGTTTGTTAGAAAAGAAGTATCCGTCAGCTGTTTTTTTTTTTTTTTTTCGTTTTGTTTTGCTTTATTTTGTTCTATTTTGAATGGTACCTTGACAACAGTGCCATGTTTCAGTGGTATAAAAAAAACGTATTAAATAGCTATACAGATTCTGCAAAGTTAGATAGTAGTGCTTCATTTGAAATAAATTTGTCCTGCCCTTTATTGCATTTTTGGGATCACAAAGGATTAGGAGTCTTTTTTGAGTAATTTCTGTTTTTATAATTTATTTGCTTCACATGGACTCACCTGTCTACTCAAATTTGAAGTGTTCATGGGACACAACTGCAAAGCATTTTAGTATCTGTATATAGTGCATATAATAAATTCAATTAAACATTATTTGATACATATTTAACTTTTTTTGGCAGTAGCTAAGTCAGTCACAAGTGAGCATTTTCTAATGTCCATTATATCCTTTTAGATATGACTCAAATCAATATTCTGAGTAGAAAACATGTATTAGTATTTTTTTTGTCTGTATGTCCTAGCACTGTTCAGCAGCAAACTTTTCTAGTTCTTGTTTTTTCTTTGTTATACAATGGAAGCACAATGTTATATGGAAAGGTAGTTTTAAGCTAACAACCAGTGCACAGCCTCAGGTTTTAAATTACAACCACATTTGATTACTATCCTTAGAAAATGTTGTTGTTAAGTTGCTAAAATTCTCAATTTTTAATTTGGCAGTTCCAGAGCTGCTTCTCTATGTTGGTTTGCCAAAAAAAAAGAAAAAAAAAAAAAAGAAAAAAAAAGAGAAAAAAATAGAAGTGTTAAAACAAAAGATATATGTTTTGTGTATACAGTAAATGGACTAATTCTTTATATTAAATTCCTGTCTATGCATTTTGTGAGGTACAAACTTATGTCACCGTGAACAATAGAGAATTCCTGCCATGCTTTTAGCTCCACAGTGAAAGTCTCTTGTTTGTTTGGATTATTTCTGAATTCTTTTTTGTGTAATTGACAACTGAACAATCACATGCTCTTAAATACAACAACAAAACACTGTAAGCCCATTGGCTTACTTCCTCTTCCAATGAAATAAAAAAGTTGCCATATCAGCTCTTGGTAATGATTCTACACTGGAGGATGCAAATTAGCCTAGATGGAGTTTGCCTCCTCCAAAGTTTTGCACCTTTGACAAAAGAGTATTTCTCTCTGGTTGTTATACTTGTGAGGCCTAAAAGCATGATGGTCTGCTAAAAAGGACTTTCCTGGGATTTTATTTTTGTGTGGGGAAGGGAGAGTTTGAAATATGACATCATGTAGTATGGTAAAATGGAAGATAAAGGTGCTGTGTCAGATTATTTATCAAAGAGTATAGATCTTTTAAGGACAATACTAAAGTATTTTAATTGTTTTTGTTGAAACATTTATCATGTTAGTTTCTAAGAAAAAAAGGTGACGTCAATCAAAGCAGCACTTTTTTTCAAAATATACAGACATAAATAATATGATGTGGTTGAGTGTTAACATAATAAATCATATACAGTACGACATTTTAAAGAAATAAGTCTGCATTGATGTGATTGCATGCTTGTTTTTACAGTTCACTCCATACCCATCTGTGGAAAAATGCAATAATATGTTAATATAGTATGGTAGTTTGAGAGAACCAGGTAGGTGCTACTAGACACATTGAAAACTAGTATAGGTTTACAAGATATTCATGTATTTCAAAGTGTATGCTTATAAAAAGGCTGGTAAAAGAAATCATTCAATTTAGTACCAAAAATATAGGTTCTTATCAAAACCGCAAGTTGCATTAACTACAGTACAATATTAGATACTGCAAGGTTTTATTTCAGGACCTGAGGCCCTATCGACCTAAGCATTTGAGCACATGCTTAGCTTCAGGTGTGGGAGAAGTTCCATTGAACGATGAGGCTCTATTCATATGCTTAAAACTAAGTGCTTCCCTGGACCAGGGCCTTACTTGTTCAAGTGAAACTCCTCACCCCTGTGTTTTGGGCCTTCTTTTCATTCTTCTTAACTCCAGCTTGTTTGAATAACAGGGCTCTTAAATGGGTAGGGTTCTTTCTTGAACCGTTGACTAATAAGCTGGACCTTCAAAAGCAGGATCACCCTTAGGGGTACCCATTTCAAACCATTTCCACCTGTGGCATAAGAACAGTGTTGAAACTTGCAAAAGCAGATGCAAGTCGGACTGTTAAAATAGATTATTTCATTGGTTTCAGTTGAACCAAAACTCTTTACATGTGCTCATTTTTAATGCAGTTGATCTTCCATGAGCTTGCACCTTGTGATGTCACTCACATCTGTGCAAAGTAGGTGTAAAAACACCACAACAAGCCTTCACAGATGGCAAATTCTAACTGGGTTGCACTTTACAGGCCTATCTAGTCTTCACAGGTTTAAATTACTACACTAGGTGTAAAGAGGCATCCGTCTTTTTCACAAGCAGGACCATGATTTAAAGCTAATGATGCTCAGTAGGCTAAAAAACAGTTGTCTGTTTCCTTTACCCAAGACCCCTTCTGAAATACCAAGTTCATTCCCATTTCAAGAAATCCAGCAAATGTGTAAAAGGAGGCTCTGAATGGGAACTGTGTTAGTTAAAATGTTTGTGACATCCTCTCCCACATATACATGCAGAGTAGTTTTCTCAAGACAAGGTAGCTAATTTCTGCCAGCGTACTGTTTACAGTGTCGATTGCTGATTATTTTTAAACTTTTAGATGTAGAATGATTTTTTTTTATGCTTCAAGAACATTTTCATTTAAAGAAGATTCAAAGAAAGCAGTGCTTCAGAAGACAAGGGGTGTATCCTCCCACTCTTTTAGTGTCATCAGACAAATCAAGAAAGAGTTTAAGGAACCCGATATCTAACTTGAGGCTCAGAATTTAAGCTACAACACTTAAAAAAAAATCATGTTACTTAAGGATGGTTCGCCTTGCACAGAGACTCCCTCTATAAAGGAATACATGAAGAAAACCAACTTTTCTAAGTAAGACATGAAAGTTAACATCTTGTGTATTTTCATTATAGTATTATATATATACATATATAAACTATTTCAATGAGAAGGACAGAATCATCTGTAATTATGTAATTCATGATTGTAACAGCACTGAAGTTAACATGTACACATATGTACAGTAGCTATTTCAACAGTTACAGTGTAGTTACATGTACTTCCCTGTAACATAGCAGTTATAGTGTAATTTAGTGCCACTTATTGTAAAGTGTTACCAAAAGGATAATGGAGTTCTTTCTTACCTTTACGATTCCATTCAAATTAAAGGTAAGTTTCTTAAATTAGCACTGTAAATCTGGTATTCCATTTCTTGATTAAGGAGGTGATGTAAAACTTCATGTTCACACTGCAGCTTTCCCCACCGCTTATCCAGACTCCTCCAAGTGTCCAATCTCTACACTCCTAGGAACTGGTAATCTGTGATGAGCATACCAAAAATCCAGCTGCTTCAACTCGAATTGAATAAGCTGTCTAATGCAGAAAAACAGACAAACAAACAAATACGAGTAATGCTTTTTATTAAGTGGCACAAAGTACACACTAAAAACTATGCAAAAATATAGGTAAATACAGTGTACTTACATGTAAGTATCTTGTACTTGCTGTGTATGGATATTGGAAAAGCATGTAATTATAATATGCATTTTGATTTTTTTCAAGAAGGGGATGACCCCTGACAGTTACAAGGAATAACTGGATGGTGCATTTACATGCAGTGGGTATCCTAATGCAATATGTGTAATTCCTCTACTTGCAATGGTAGCTAATTTATAAAAATGCTTATACCACTCCTCATTCTTGCTAGTTCTGCTTTTCCTCTTTGGGGCCCATTAAATAACGCTGAAACACCTTTAGGCAAAGTGAGACACTGGCTCTGCTAATGGCTTTGCTGCCAGCGTTCTGTGTGTCTGGCAACATCGCTCAGTAATCTATTTCTGGCTCAGCAGCACAAGATTCCTCTTCTTTCTGCCCTCAAGGGAGTTTAATATGTTAAGATGCTGAAATATACCACCATATGCCCCAATATTTTTAGTATGAACAACAGAGAAAGCGAGACAACTGCATTCTCCTGATCTCTGTTTTGCTGAATCACCTCACCTGGAATTTCCACTACTTGCACAATAATGCCAGGTAATCTTAAATTGTGAGTACAAAATGCTTCCATCAAGTACAGGGGATGCCTTTAATGATAAAGTTAACTTTTTGTAAATGTGAAGGTTTTGTATTACTGATCTTTCTACTTCTTGCTACTTTTACATCATCCCCTTCCAGAAGGATTGCATTGAAAGATAACATGGAATAGCAAAATAAGAGAATGAATATGGTTAGCTGGAATATTGTAAACCTTTTTGTGACTGCCATTGCTATAACCTTCCTTTGTGTCCTATGAATAACAGGCAAATAGATATGTTTAGTAGTTAGCACTAGCATCATTCCACACTATACTATTCCTACAGTATGGCATCTACCTCTTAGTCTAAATACTAGCTACGAGATGTTTATATACATTTGAAATTACTACTTGATCTTTGATGTAGTCTTGAAATCAGTTCACTGTATTTTTTTTGTTTGTTTGTTTAAAATAGAAAAAAAATACTGCCTGGATTCGTAACCTTTCCCCATTCTTTACCAACTTTGGAATAGTTTGAGCTCATAATGGGGACACGGGGACACAGCCTCAGCTGGTATAAATCAGCTTCACTCTATTGCCTTAAATGTGGGCCAATTTACACTGGCTGGGGATCCATCCTGCACAGACAAATAATAAACAGCTATAGCACGTCAATATTTAGTCAGTACTAGATAATGGCATGCAATCCAACTGCAACACAATTCTTTCCAATGAAAGGCATGTAGGTTTGAAAAGCAACTTTTAAAAGCACATGCAAGCATTTGAATTAAATATGCAATACAAATACTGTTGGGATACTCTACTATATCTCTTACATATTTAAACATAATATGGTCACTTCATGTTTACATTAAAAGCACTCAATGCCTAGGCGGAGAAGTAAGGAGTATTGCAAACAAAAAGAAAATGGGTAGTGCAGCTTTTCATGTGAACAGAGCAGAGTAGAAGCTCCCATCAAGAGTAGGTCTTCATACATGACTTTTTGGAGTGGATCTGATTTAATATTGCTAAGGGAAAATGAAAGTTGTTTACTTAGCGCTAACATAAGCTAGCACAGTTCCTTCCTGCTGCCAATGGATCAAACCTATTACTCTGCACTAGTTGTAACTCAGGAGGAAATAAGGATACAAACATGGTTTAACAGCACACGTATCATTCCACATTCTCAGGCTGCTCTAAGCTTTGTGCACTTCCAGCAGCCCTTGAGGGTATTCTTCCAGCATCTAGGAATTGTCTTGTTGCCAAACCATGCTCGTTTTCCTCAGCTGTTTCATGTACTCTCACTCAGATGGAAGATGGGGTAGAGCTGATACAATGGCTCTACAATAGTAAGGGATTCCTGAAATGTGGCAGGGAGCTTTCCAGTAGCTCACTAAAAAAAAAATTCTTCATGGCTTCTGTGTGTACTATAGATCTGCCCTGCATGTTCTGTCTCTGAAGTCTGTTATTCTCTGTTGGGCTAAAAGCAGCAATCCAGTTGGAAAGGAGATAGAAGAAAAGTCTGTCCTCCACAAGGAGTAGTCTCTGTTATTATAAAAGAACTTTTATTTCTTTGTCTTTTTTATTTTTTTTTTAAGATTTCAGGTGCAAAGCTAAGCCTGATGGGGTCAGCACTTTAGCACTTTCCCTGTGTTCAGGGTCCAGTCAGCAGTGAGCTCTGATCTCACCTTTCAGCACAAACTACAGATAGCCTTATCCTGCCCTTACGATAGTGCTGAAAAACACCAATGCTTCAATGCTTTTTTTTTGTCTAAACACATTCATTCTCTTAGTCTTGTTCTACAAGGAAATTATTAAAGGTTTTTCTAATAGGATCTAAAGGAGTTTTTTAAAGTAGTAACTTATAAAGCAAATAAAAGTGATGATCATTGACTATTTGTGTTGATCCTGAAGAGAAAGAAAACCTGTAATTGCTGGACTGAATTCTTTATCACTTCCCCTTTTCCTCTCTTCTGTGCATATTGATTTATGTTAGTAAATACACAGTTGTACATACTCTCATTTTTCAGTGAAAATAGGTTTCCTTATACACCTACAGAGTTTTCATACAAATATGCAAATATTACCTACAGTCGTCTTGCTTTTGACTAAATAGTGAGCCAAGAGAGTGAACTCATGGGTTACTGGTTACATATATGTCCTTCTTCCATAAAAGCGTATACAATACGCCTATTGATTTCAAAAGAATGAGGCTCAAGTCCTTACTGCACATTTGAGTTGCTATTTAGTTCTTTTCTGAAAGAGTAATAAAGCTTTCCTTGTGCATCCTGTACTTTTAGCCTAGATATTTTATAGCTACAAAAAACGTTCAGTCCGGCAGGAAGTTTCCTAGAACAAATAATAAGGCATAATTTGTGAAAGGACTATAACAACTTCATCTATTCATAGTCAGTGTGTTTTCTCCTAGGAACTGTAATGTACTCTGCTCTTACACTGGCGATTCATGGCCTGTGGAAGGATATTTTAGAGTGTTTCAGAAATGCAACCACCAACTTGTAACAAAATCTGTGGGAATTAAACATATTGCACTACTGATGGAGACACATTCACTTCATTTAATTTCCTCATTAGTAACTCTAAGCAGACAAAATGCATATTGTAATGTTAGGTACATGACACTTGCATGTTGCTATGCCTATATACTTACAAAGTATTCAATGTGTACTTAGTGGCGCTTAAAAAATGTCATGTACAATTCTTCTAAACATTCTTACAGGGTTCCCATTTGCACTTCATCTTCCAGAAAAGTCTTGTCAGAAAAATGTCTGATGAATATTATTGAAAAAAAATAAAATTTCAATTTTAGTTATCTGTTGGACATTTCTGAATTGTCTATTCATTTAATATATCTCCTGATGCTTGCCAATTTGGCAGTAGAGTTGATTTAGACCAGTGGCTGTACTGCAGATTGTTCGATAAGCTCATTTTGATGTTCCTAATAGAACTGTTATGATCATATTCTGTGTCTCTAAATATTACTTCTGAGATTATAAACAATTATCTAAGAAAAAAAAATCTGTGAGACGGTGCTATTTTACATATTTTAACTAAAAATCTTAACATTTTATTTAATGCTTACAGACTATTTAATGTGTATTGCTTTTTTTTGACTGACAAGGAGAGTAACAACTTTTGGATGCTGCCCTCACTGTAGGTGAAATTCATCCTTGTGAAGAGGTCAAGTGCTGAAAAAGCATTTAAACCTGTGGGACTTAAATGGTGGCTTAGCCCTGTACGAAGGAGATGGAGAATTCATGCAAGGATTTCTGTATCACTTATCATGCTTCAACTGACGCCATCAAAGGCAAGAAAGCCACTGGGTCAAAAGGAAAAAGAGAAATATCACGGGGAAGAGGAAACTCTGAGAGGGTTCATATTTATGAGAAAGAAACAAGTCCCAGATGCAGAGAGAGACGCTGACAGAATTTATTACCCGTTTGCATAGGGTATCTCAGTGCATCTCTGACGACAGATCTGTCCTGTAACCTAAACTAAGAACACATTCAACTAATGTGTATACCTGCTGCATTTAGCAAATCAGTTCTTGTCTTTATTATTTGTTTTCACCAAACCAAAATATTTCTCCTTAAGTAATTTAAAGTGTACATTTTAAACTTAGGAACTCTGCAAAATTCTAAGTGATCTTCTAAGTCATATGTCCATGAGTTAGGGCAAAACACACTGAAAAGCCACAGTGTGCCTAAGGAAAAGAACAGAATTCACAACTGGCTTTCTAAGTTTCTGTGTTCAAGTTGTAATTCCTTTACCAATTTTGTTTCAATGCACCAAAAGTTTCCCAAAAGTTTCCCAAAAGGTAACTGCACTTTTCTGTGTACCTTTCACTGTCTGAAAGTGGATATTTTACAATTATTATTCTTAGTATTGCCCTTATATGTTTCCTTCAAAAAGAAAAATCTATAAAGGGCTGTAAGAGATCTCTTTCACCAACGGCCAACAAAATATGCCTCTTCCTTCCCTTTCCACAGCATTGGAAGATAACCATTGCTTTTTGTCTCTTACTTGCGATAGGAAAGCTGCAAAAGAAAAAAAAACTCTTTATTTATTTTTATTTTTTTTTAACAACTGTAAAGCCTGCTCGTAATTTCAGCAAGTATTGATACAAACTCCAGACCAGGCTCTGTCACATTTATGGCATTATACACACAGAGATGAATGAGAGTCTATTTACATCGCTTAATACTTATCAAGCAGCTATGTGAAGATATATTCACTTTTTCAAGGACAGTGTTATACAGCAGCCCTTGGCCAGGCTCTGCTAGTAAGGGTAAGGCAAAGGTAAGTGCAATTAGTGAAATTTAGAGGCGATCATCAAGTGGAGATAATGAAGATAATTCCTTGATCAACAAAGGAGTTATCCTACATTGCCTTCCAGTTCTGCTTCAAGCACTTGGCAACATCCGGAGCCACAGGAGGGCACTTTTGATCAGCTCTGGGATACTTACTTACCCCAGCACTTGCTCCTGCTGAGCTGGTAGCAATAGCTTCTCTGCTGCTCAGAACTGAGGCGAGGGCCTTATTGATTCTGCAAGCTGCATGGGGGAAAAAAAAAAAAGAATACATAGAGTGTTTTCTAGCAAGCCAGAAAGAGCCCTCTACTTTATTCTGCGACAACTTACAGGAAATAATTCACGCTCATGTAAGCTGGTGAGGATAGTGACTATCCTGGCTTGATGTGCTGCCACCCCCAAGTTAGACCAACTGGATTTGTGAAATGGGGAGAGGACAGCAAGAGGAGAAAAGATTTGCCCATGCTAGGAACATGGGTACAGGCCTGTGCCTCTCTAGGTGCTGGAGCAAGGAGGTACGCTGCAGTCTCTTGTGCTTCATTTCCATCCACAGCTTCAGTACAGCTATGGGAGATGCAAAGAAATGGGAGACTGGAGTCCACTCAGAAGAGTCACAGAGCTTCTGAGCAGCAAGAAATGCCTTTCACAACACTGCTGCTAAGACCTGGCAAACAGGCAATGCTTCTCATTTTGTGGTGCTTTGACTTAATTGGACTTAGAGGGTGGTGGGAAGATCTAAGACACAAAGAAGAAGGGGAGAAAAAAAAGCAAATCATAATTTGGGCCTGGAGAGATGAAGTTGAATAGAAAGTACAAGAAAGAAAAATGGAAAATATAGCTTTTTTAAGAGCATCTTGTTCTTTATCAGAGCAGTAGCCAGCTCTGTCTGAGGAAAAAGCAAATGTTCCTCATAATTCTGTAACTGTTTCAGTGCATTTTTGCTCTTTCTGGAGCATAAAATGTCCATGTCAGAAACAAAAAAATGCATATACCCTGATGTGATCAAGTTAAAGCACATCATTATTTTGCCCTCACTAACATAATATCAGATTAGCCTCCTGAATAGCAGTAAGCAACATGACTAACAGCTGTCATATTCATTTTCTCATCCACTCTCCATGGGGGACTATGTGTGTGCAGTGAAGCCTTCTGTTGCATTAATTTATTTATTTTCATATTTCCTCTATGTTTATGCTAGAAATGTAGTTTAAAAAACATTTTGTACTTGGAGAAGAAACCAGTACAGTTGGTTACCATCCCAAGTTCCTGTAAGATTTAATGTTTCAGTATTGGAAAGCTCTGGCTGGAAA